CTAGCATGAACCACATGAAGCCAGATGTTGTAGCTCACACCTATAATCCCAGCACTTGGGAGCTAGAAACAGAGGCAGTCATCCATGTCTACCTAAAATGTTCGAAACCAGCCTGTGCTACATGATTCCCTGCCCAAAAAGCAAATGGGAAATAAAAAGGAAAAAAGGAAGGAAAGGGGAAGAAGGGAGAGTTTGAGGGAGATAGGAGAAGCAAATGAGGAAGCAAAAAGGGAAGGGAGGGAAGAATAAATTAAGGGAACTGTCAAATATAATTTTATTTCTAATTTGACCTTGTTTGACTTTTAGTAATGTGTTCTTAGGTACTTTTTCTATATACAAGATTGCAATCACAGTTTAAAAACAATTCTGCTATAAAAAAAATTCAAACTAACAGTAACTTTTCTAAATTGCACATGGATCTTTAAGGCACGGTGCTCATAATACACAAATCAACTTTTATCTAGTGTAACTTCATCACTCCAGCTAAAATTCAACCAATGGATGACCATAATCTTGAGACCTAATCGCAAGATCCTTGCCACATAGGCATGAATCATTCACTATCCTGTGTTATCTTTGCATTGTCCTCTCTTTTCACCCCCTTCTGAGCACTCGCTATTCTTCTTATGTATAACATTCCTTTCTGCCCTATACCAAATATTTTTTTCAGATTTTTTTTATTTGAAATAGAAACAAGATTGTTTTACCTGTCAATCCCAGTTCCCTCTCCCTTCCCTCCTCCCCTGCCACCCCCAACTAAAACCCTACTTATCACATATGTTTTCTGCTCCCCTGGGAGGGTAAGGCCTTACATAAGGTGTCATCAGAGTCTATCATATCCTTTGGGATAGGGCCTAGGCCCACCCCATGTGTCTTGGCTCAGGGAGTATCCCTCTATGTGGAATGGGCTCCCAAAATCCACACCTATGCTAGGGATAAGTACTGACCTACTAAAGGAGGCCCCATGATTTCCGGGGTTTCCTCACTGAAACACATGTTCCTGGGGTCTATATCAGACCCATCCTGTTTTCCCAGTTATCAGTCTGGGCACCAAGAGCTCCCTGTTGTTCAGGTCAGCTGTTTCTGTGGGTTTCACCAGCCTGGTCTGGATCCCTTTGCTCATCACTTCTCTGCAACTAGATTTCAGTTGCGTTCAGTGATTAGTTGTGGGTGTCTGCTTCTACTTCCCCCAGCTGCTGGATGAAGGCTATAGGATGGCATATAAGCCAGTCATCAATCTCATTATCAGGGGCGGGCATTTAAGGTATCCTCTCCTCTGTTGCTTAAATTGTTAGTTGCTTCATCTTTATAGCTCTCCAGACATTTCCCTAGTGCCTGATTTCTCTTTAAACCTAAAATGTCTCCCTCTATTATGGTGTCTCCTTTCTTGTTTTCTTCTATTCTTCCCCTGACTCAAACTTTCTGCTCCCTCATGTTCTCCTCATCCCTCCTCTTCTCCCCTTCTCATTCTCCTAGCTCCCTCCCTGCTCCCCCCATGCTCCCAATTTGCTCAGGAGATCTTGTCCCTTTCCCCTTCTCGAGGGGACCATGTATGTCTCTCTTAGGGTCCTCCTTGTTCCAAGTATTTTTAATTCTCCTGCCATCATAAATTTATCCTTGCTTGACCTCAGAAACTCATTATTCCTTCCTAATTCATATACCATCCAAGACTGCCTTGTACAAGAAGATCTGTTAACATTCTTTATATTCTACAGATTTATAGCAAAGTCATGATTAAAATTCTACCTGTGCCTATTCAACGCACTCCACAATAATTTGTGCTGTAATTGTGTGTTTACATTGGGTATTCAGTAGATGAAATTAAATTACTAACTATAATAGCATTATGTATCTAAACATCTGGAATACATAGCAGGGGGATGGTTAGCTAATGGATATTGAGTATGAGTGATCAAAGTGAAATCTTATTTCAATTACTTTGCAATGATTCTGTCTAAGCTACTGATGATTTTCCTAAACATTAGGGTATTAGTATTCTTTTTTTTCATACAACCATATATAAACAAAATTTATTGCATAGCCATAATTTTCCCCACAATGAAAATCTAGGCTCAGATGTTCACATGGGCACCAAGGGACTCATGAAGGAATGTTGACAATGTGGCTGTTCATAAGAGCCTGCAACTGGAAACATCCAGAATGCCCATCAACAGAACAGATACACAAAATTACAGCATTATGAAGACCACTCAACAGTGAAAGTGAACAAACTACTATGCCACAAAGCCTTGTAGATCTCAGAAACAGTTGTACAAAAGCTGAACATATAAAAGGAACAAAAATACCATGTGATTGCAAATATACACAAGCTTGAGAATAGGCAAAGCTCAGTGATGTTAGAGAAGTCTTACAAGAAATAAAGCAAAGACGGCAAGAAAGACAGTGGTTCTCTGCAGGAAGGAGAGGTTTTCTGTCACAGAACTGAGCCAGAGGTCTCTGGAATGCTTGCAAGGATCTTTCATTTAATATGGTTGGTGATAACATGGGCAACATGGATAAGCACTTAACATGAGAGTTCACTTCTACAAATTTACATTGTGCATATGTGTTGTGTAAGCGTTTCCGTAGGTACATCATTCTACTTTTTAGAATGTTGAAAGACACAATGATAAAATGTGTTAGCATAGCAGAAGCCCCAGAAGTGGTGGCTACATAATCACTTTATAAGAAAAACACTAGGATAATTTTGGAAAGAAAGCTCACTTGAATTGAAGGCACTCAACCTGGGACACAGAGGAAGAAAAGATTTCTGACGTGTGATGGAGACTCTGCCTTGGATGGACAATCTGGGACACAACCTGGTGAGGAGCACATGACACAGAGCAATAACAGACAAAATGAGAAGCTCTGCATGAAGGGAAAGGTATTAAGTAATGTGCTGCAACTTCAAAGCCTGTGAACAATCTACATCTGGAAATCATATTGCTTGTGTTTCTCCCACGCTATTTAACTGGGCATACCTCTTAGTATCTGTTCATAACAGCCAAAGAGAGTGTGGAACCATATAGTTATTATTATCTTCCCTGTGTGTCTTTCTATAGCTACTCACTGATGCAACTTAGAGCCTCAAGGTAGTATAGACATGTGCCTCCTAGAGTCCTCTGTGATTCAGTTCCTGCATTGTCTATGGGGTATCCCTACCTCCAGAATAGTTGAAGAATTTCCACTAATCATAGTGAGTGCTGATCCCATCCCCTCCCCAAATCCCATGAGCAGCCTGGCCATCTTCATGGCCAGAGTCTGTTACAAGAGATGTCTCATCTTTCTAGACCTTTCTCAGGTTCTTCTCAACAGGTCTCATACTGACTGTCTGATGACCTGTGTGTCAGAAGTCCTGAGAGGTTTAGTGGAGCCTCACAGGTGTCTCCTTCTCCAGCAACTCTCCCAACCTAGGAAGAACCACTAAATCAAGTGATTCTTCATGGGACTGAGTGAGTATCTGATCCAACATGACTCTTATGTCACTTCTTGAAATAAAGGAAGCATATCAAAGTTTGTATAGCTTCTGATATGGTGACTGGCCTCATCTCTGCTGTGCACAACAATCCATGTAAAAATGGCAGCCTCATAGTCAGTGAAATGTCACCTTTCTATGAAGAGATGCTAAGGGTATTAGTATTCTACACTTGATTCAATACAGGAAATTTTTACTGATATCAATATCTGAATACCTCAAAGGAAAAGCATTTACTTGGGATATAAGTAGCATTTTGATGTTATTGACATCACACCCACATCTAGCATTTTCTCTTTCAATACATACTCATTGCATCATAATGCTACCCATAATTGACTTTTGAGGAAAGTCTAGAAAGGTTGGCAGTGAATGTTCCTAATGTGGTTTTAATCCAGTTACAGAGGTGATTTGGGATATATGCATATCAGCTTTCTCAGCAATTTATTGGGATAACAATGAATCATATTCTACAGAGTCTTCAAACTCCTCTGAAGGACAAACAGGTACCTACAGGGATAACTCATTCAGAACCATTGCTCTATTTGCTTTCTTCCTGGTGCTTTCTCCTATTTCCTACACTAAATCTTTAAATTAGTTGGATGACCTCCTTCATAGACAGTTTGCATTTGATGTCTCATCTCAGATTCTGCTGCTCAATGGACTCACACTAAAAAATCCCAAACTCTTTTTAGACCTAACAGTCCAGTGCCTCTTACAGGACCATAAGTGGGATAGCATAAAATATGTCATTCTTTGTAACTCATGCTGACTTCAAAGAAACAATTGGTATGGGAAAGACATGTGGGTAGAACAAAGCAGAAATAATATCACTTGTTTCATAGAGGATAGAAATTTATGAGCAGATGGTGGCTAACAGGTGTGACTATAATTTAAGAAGCCTGCTCCATTAGTCATCAGGAAATTGCTATTACTATTTTTGTAATGTTGACCTCAAGACATTAATGTTCCACTTGTTTCTATTTACCCTAATATTTATTGACACTGATTAATAATAGTTGATGTATTTTTTTCTCACTCTACTGTTGTGTCTTTTTCCTCTCTTTTTTAAAATTTAAATTAGAAACAATCTTGTTTTACATGTCAATCCCAG